ACACACACACACACACACACACACACACACACACACACACACACACACACACACTTGTTCTGAATGAATTTCTCAGATTCCTCATTCATTATCTCACAATGCAGCATGAATGTGATGTAACAAAAATAAAGAGTCATAGGTCAGAATGAAGGCATCCAGATCTACTTCTTCCATTTTCAGGGGACCTCTAGAGAGAGGCATCCCCCTTAGTTACCTTTCCTGGAGCTATGCCAAAACACTGGAAAGCACCCCAGGAGAGAAGAGCTTATTCTGGCTTCCAGTTTGAGGTTGCAGTCCATGGGGGGAGACGGGGGAAGAGGGAGAGAGATGCTGGTGTTCAGCTCACTTCCACATTTTAATTCAGTCCAGCCCATGGAATGGTGCCATCTACATTTTGGGTAAGTCTGCCTGTCCAATTAACCAAATCTAGAAACTTCCTCATGAGTATAGTCAGAGATTGGTATTCTAGGTAATTATCAAATCTATTATATTGCTAATCAATGTTAACCACCACACTCATTAAAATTTCTTTTCTTACATTTATTTTTATATGTATGAGTGCTTGCCTGTGGAGGTCAAGGGCAAGCTGGACTCTAGAACTGGAGGTACAGATGGTTGTGAGCATCCGTGTGAGTGCTGGGAATGAACTCTCCCACAACAGCGACAAGCACTCTTAACCACTGAGCCATCTCTCTAGTCACCACCGCCCCACTCTGGAGTTTCACTGAACTTACTTGGATCACAGCTTTGTTATTTTTTATCTTACAGGGTACTGTTGGCCAGTGCTTACTTAGTATTAGTCTTCTTTGTTTCTTGTAATCAAAGTGAAGAACCGCTTAGCTGGTCTGAACAAAGTGAGAATAATGGAAGAGGCCAAAGAAGCAGAGTTGACGCTGGCTTCCAGAGTTGAGTGGGATTTTAGTAGAAGGGGGTGGGAACTAAGGGATTCATAGTAAAGGAGCTTCAGGAGAAAATAAAATGGAATTGTGAGCTGTATGTGGTATATTTCAAAGCAGCAGAACAGCCTAAGACCAACCAAGCTCAGTGCACAGGTTCTCACTGGAGCGCTACAGAAGGAATGCTGCTGAGCTCATAGAAAACTAAGACACACCAACAGCATACTGAAGAACAGGAGAAGTCCTGGGTTCTCAAAGGCAATGGCTGCTGCTCGCTGATCCTAACGGAAGCAGTCTTCATCTCAGGGCATCCGAGGACTATGGATCACAGGAAAGGGATGCCTTCCATGGGGAGAGAACAAAGTGGGCTGTCAGTCCTTAGGAGGAAGGTGGGATCCAGTGCTAAGACAAGACATCAATATTTAAGAGTATGCCACTTTCCTTTTTGGCATATAAGATATAAGAATGTCTTCTTATGCCAAAAGGGAGGGCAAGGAGCTACCAATCATTTATCAGGATACTCCTACTTAACCACAGAGCTTATTGTAGTCCTCTATGTTTGTCTCTTTGCCTGTCTCATTGACTCTTCTTTTCTCTCTGTGTTAACAAAAACACGAGGGAATGATACAAATATGCTGGTCTTTAACCAGAACACGAGTCACAACACAGCCTTTTGGTTTTCCTGAATGATGCATATGTTGACAAGCACCGTTTCTTTTCACCCAAGTGGAGCTGCTTGCCAGGGAACCAAGGGCAACACAGGCCAAAGAGCTTCCAGACTCACTCTGCAGTGCCACACCTACGTTAGAGAGAACGTGGACAAAGAAAAGGTGTCCTAAGCATCTCACTTTGCACGGTGTGTGTGTGTGTGTGTGTGTGTGTGTGTGTGTGTGTGTGTGTGTGTGTGTGTGATGACACATTTGATTCCTAGCCTGCAGACTTCTTGGTGATGAGAATAAAATGAGGAAGTTTAGTCAAGTACAGAGAATACAGAGTCAGGTTGAGAAAATACCAAATCCAAAACGCCTAAAGTCATCCAACACAGCAGCATGTGAGTGATTGGTATCTGGATTTGTGAGGGGACCGCAGAGTTCACTGTACCCGACTGACTGCATCAGCCTGTCCTTGACAACAGAAAGCCCAACGGGAAGGCTGGTGACAGAAGATCAGATAACCTGCAAAGCAGATAATCTGCTGCTCACAATGGAGCATTAGAAGAGTCTAGTCGACCACCTGAGCCCCCATAATATACCCTTTCCAGCCTGCAGTCAGAGCCCGGGAGGCTATTGACCCAAGCCCAGAGGCAGCATGGACGCCCACAATTAAAAGGCTTTGACCCAACTTCTGACCTCAGTGTCTGCTTCCTGTGGAGACTGTCTGAACTGGCCTAACAGAATCAGAGCTTAGGAAAAGTGCCCAAATTATTTCCATTTTATGGCCCCACTCAACAAACCATTAAGGCCCTATTTGTTCAGATATATGCTGTTCAACAGCTCAAGACAGTCCATATCCATCAGTGTTTATAGAGGGTTATGTTGTCCCCAGTAATTATCCCTACTCTTGTCAAAAGTCAGTTTTTAGTTCAGGCATCCTTTATCTAAAACTGTTTATTGAAGCAGATTCATCAGGAGCCTTGGAGAGCTCATCAGCACAAACACATCCTTGGGAAATGAGACTGCCAATAGGAAAGTTACCATCTTAGTTCTGTAATTGTTGCAGATGTTAGGACTAACTGTGTCCAATACTGAGATAGCTAGCCTAAAATGAATTTAGGAATATATACGTACACACATAGACAGAGATATATGTAATAACAATTAATGAAAAATGAGGTCATGAACTTGGAAAAGAACAATGAGGGATGTATGGGGGATGGGGGAGGAAAGGGAAGGGAGAAATGTAATTATACTACAATCTCAAAAATTAAAAGAAAGAAATATTCTCTCATTTAATTGCCTATGAGGCTGAATAACTAAGAAGCTCAGAAGTGAGAAATAAGCTTCCCTGAAGGTCAAACTTTCAAAATGGAGAACACATCTGGCTGAAAGAAAATGGTTTATGTGAAATATCAATGCTTGTTGTAGAGTCCTTTGCTCTACACGAATGCATCCATTTCTATATCTTTTACTCTTTCCAAAGGGCACGCCAACAGGAGTCTACCCTCTTTCCCTGACTACTTCTCAAAACCCTACCAATTATATGTAAAGGGATGTAAAGTTCCCGAGAGCTTCAAAGTGGCCTGGCCCTTGACAGACTAGACAGGTCAAAGTTCATGCAGTGATTCCTGCTATACAAATAGCTGTCACTGTCTACACACTGGGGAATGAAGAGAATATGGGAGAGCAAGCAGGAGAGAGCTACCCTCCTGTTTAAGAGGCATTTTGAGCAGACTTTGATAACTACTGGGAAAGAAGCTCCCTAAAGGACTAGCTTCACGTAAGCACAGCATTAAAAGTATGGCTGGGCAAATAAAATGTTTGAAACGAGCATTTGTTGGTTTTCATTTCTCTGAGGCAACTTCTAACCCTATCAAAAGGAGGACAAAATCAGCAACTATGGTACAACCGAAGGAGAAAATGCCTTTTCTTTTGAGTATATGTTGAAGTGTGTCTTCAACAGAGGCATACAGGCTGCCTGTGTAACTCTGCATTTGGTAATCACACAGATGACATGGCCCAGTGGACTCATGATGGTACACTTCAAGTTACCAGAAGGTAATTACAGAGAGTCTGGGAGATGAGAATTCTGCCTCATAAAACCTACTTACCATCAATGTGCAAACAACTATCTTTAGGTGATATATTTTACTTTTTTTCAAACTAAAGAGATCCTGCCAATGTTTATTTTTAGTTTGAAAAATAACCCAATTCCCCACATGTACTTAGCTTTAGCTCCGAATATGTGTTCTGAGTGCCTGCCACTCACAAGGAACTAAACCTGCTGGTGCAGAAAGCCACACAGAGATTACACCATCATACATTATACATCACAGTGCGGGATGTAGGAAATCTGGTGACATATTTTGAAGCGAATTCATCTGATTCCTGTATACAACTGTACCAGCACACACCAATATACAAACAATATGTCTATATTATTATCATTATAGTTATTATAATGTAGTTTTCTTATGCTTTCCCCTTTAAACGTTATTAATATTTCAATAAAGGAATCAAATAGTTACTTACAGAAGCATAAAAGTAGCATTGCTTATTTTAATTTCTATAATCTGAGAGAATAGATAAGGCACACAGTTATGGACTGGAGCACATTTTAAATTTAAACAGTTCCAAAATCTCTTGAGTGATGAAATTCTGTCTACCTCTTCATCAAAACTTTCAATTTGTCAGACATTCATTTGTAGTGAGAATTTTGCCACATAGACAGCAGCAGGTTCTGTAGGAACTGAACTTCATACATTCTGGTGGTTCTTCTTAAAAGAATGGAATATAAAATTAGTTTCAGGCCTTAGGAAGGGGCCTGTACAAATGAAGGTCCTTCATTAGCTTCTGGATAAATCTGCCTCTGCTTGTCAGCCTTGTAACCAACTTCCATTCTGGGATGATGTAAAACAGAACAACAAGTATCTGAAATTTAAGTTAGGGCGGAAACATATTGCCCTTAAAGTTAATTAGAAGAGCTGTGTGGTCATTTGTGCGACTGAACCACCAAGGCACCCCTAGAAACCTACTCCACTATCACCGTGTGCAATGCCAGGAAGAGGCCACGGTTAATCACTCATTTCCACTTTCAATCCGTCTCAATTACTGTTATGGGATGCTTCAATTAGTCATTCCCTCTCTCTCCTGGGATAGGCAGAGATTAGAGATAACTCATCCCAAATAGACTCCACAGTTTGAACCCTTCCACCCGCCAAAGAAAAATCCTCACTGGAAACAAGCAAGATCTGCTGTCACCCACCCTGCAATCTGTCACTGCCACTCTTTCAGACAAAGAGGAGCCATCCGTCTTCAGGGAAGCAAGGGTTTCTTTCCCTTCCCCCAAAGGAGCAAGTTCTGTTTCTACCACATACTTGCCCCAAGTCAGCCCTAGGCAATCTTTCTTAAAGACCGCCCTTGGATGGCCCTTTCTGGAAGCTAGCCCCTAAGATCCTCCTTGCACTATCAGTCACCTAGATGGCATTTGCATCTCTCTGCTTGTTAATGAGAGAGCTTAGCTTTCAATTCTAAACTCTCCAAAAGCAAGCACTTCAACGACTCTTGAAGAAGTATTTGTGGATCAACGTTTACAGATCACTACCCTCAAATAATGATCCCTAAATTCAGAAGGAAAAATAAAACGTTTCCCATCTTTAGAAAAGGCATGTGGTCTTCCTAAATTCATGGGATAATAAAGAATTCTAAGCCAACAAAGGCTTTGGTTATGCTTCTCCCTTTGCAGAAATAGAAGTTCGTGAGTTCTACCACCACGCCACAGAACATGCCCATGCTGGGTGTTCCAGCAGCAGTATAAAAGTGGCACTTATATAAGAGTACTACAAATTGCCTTCCTAGTTCCCTTTTCAGAAGCCCTTGACTCTCCTGGGGAGGGGGAGGCCTTGACTGGCTCCAGGTCTGTGTATGGTGATGAGCTTCTAATTGGTCCCATCTTTATTTGTGTCATTCCTGGATGTGGAGGACATCAGCATCATGGGCACTTACTAGCTTTCAGGACAGCTTTCCTCAACAGCTCAGTTTCCACGGACTGGACAGGGCAGGTGGAAGGGGAGCCTGGAGCCATTTCCCTGTCTGTGTTCTCAGCGCCTGTAAGGAGCTGCCACACATTCAACATGCAGTGAATTGACAGAAAGAGTCACAGAGTGGGTGTCATCGAATAGTGAGATCGTGTGTTTTAAAAACTGACTTCAGACTGTACTGCTCAAGATCACGGTGAATGACCGGAAGAATTTTAAACATTAACAGACTATACTAAAAAAAATACAACACTGGAATTAATTTTTTTTTCCCTTTTTTTTCCCAGAGCTGAGGACAGAACCCAGGGCCTTGCGCTTGCTAGGCAAGCGCTCTACCACTGAGCTAAATCCCCAACCCCTGGAATTACTTTATAAGGAGCTAGGATAGATGTTCTTGATGTACTACTGAGAAGTCCTAAGTATGGAGATATTCTTAATATATAAAGCCTTCTTCTAGGAAAATTCCAGAACTGAAGAGATTGAAAATATCCCAAATGCATTTAAAATCAAATCATTTTAAAATTTCACATAAAATTATTATATTATATACTGACTTTTCTCATCAGAATGTATGTTGCTTTGAACACAGTTAAATTCCAACTCAATCTTGACTCACAAAAGTCTTCTCTATCATGGGCCTCAAATATCTCTATGCTTCAAAATATAATTAGATTCATACTGGTGGGTGGAGCATTTAATAGGGAGGAAACCTGTCTTCTTTGGTACCCTCTCACCTCTGCATCATCTCCACATGCACCTCACCTCTGCATCATCTCCACATACACCTCACCTCTGCATCATCTCCATATACACCTCACCTCTGCATTATCTCCACATGCACTTCACTTCTGCATCATCTCCATATACACCTCACCTCTGCATCATCTCCACATGCACTTCACCTCTACATCATCTCCTCATACACCTCCGCTGTGGGATGTCTTTCTGTATGTTGTGAATATGTGTTGCTCTGATTGGTTGATAAAATAAAGCTGTTTGGCTTATTGCAGGGCAGCTTAGAAGCAGGCAGGAAATACAAGCAGATAGACAGGAAGAAGAAAGGCTGAAGGGAAGAGACGCCAGCCAGCCACCCAAGGAGCAACATGGAATGGGACTCAGGTAAAGCCACAGAACATGTGGTGATACACAGATTAATAGTTATGGGCTAATTTAAGATATAAGAGCTAGCTAGCAAGAGGCCTGCGATAAACTATACAGTTTGTAATTAACATAAGCCTCTACTTGGGTGTGAGCAGTTTCAGGACCGGGCGGGACACAGGACAACTTCCAACTCCACACCTCACTTCTCTGCAACATTTCCACATACACCTCACCTCTGCATCATCTCCACATGCACCTCACCTCTCTGCATCATCTCCATATACACCTCACCTTTGCATCATCTCCACATGCACCTCACCTCTCTGCATCATCTCCATATACACCTCACCTCTGCATCATCTCCATATGCACCTCACCTCTCTACATCATCTCCATATGCACCTCACCTCTCTACATCATCTCCACATACACCTCACCTCTGCATCATCTCCATATATACCTCACCTCTCTACATCATCTCCACATATACCTCACCTCTGCATCATCTCCACATATACCTCACCTCTCTGCATCATCTCCACATATACCTCACCTCTCTGCATCATCTCCACATGCACCTCACCTCTGCATCATCTCCACATACACCTCACCTCTGCATCATTTCCTCATATATCTCACCTCTCTGCATATCATCTCCACATATACCTCACCTCTCTGCATCATCTCCACATGCACCTTACCTCTGCATCATCTCCACATGCACCTCACCTCTGCATCATCTCTACATACACCTCACCTCTGCATCATCTCCACATATACCTCACCTCTCTGCATCATCTCCATATACACCTCTCTGAATCATCTCCACATACACCTCTCTGCATCATCTCCACATATACCTCTCTGCATCATCTCCATATACACCTCTCTGCATCATCTCCATATATACCTCTCTGCATCATCTCCACATGCACCTCACCTCTGCATCATCTCTACATACACCTCACCTCTGCATCATCTCCTCATATACCTCACCTCTCTGCATCATCTCCACACACATGGTTCTTACAGTATCTTTTTCATGAAGGCCTTTGGAAGCTGCACCTGTCTCCTTCCCTACTGTGGTTGTTAGCAAGCTCGTCACAGCGTGAAAGCATGGCTGTTGTCTCAGTGACCACTTCAGTTTTTGCTTTCAGTGTTGAATCTAAAAGACTGTAGTAGGCAACTAGACATGAGCAAGTGATTCAAGGCGATTCTACGAGACCGAGAGGCTTCTTAATAACAGTAAACAACCTACATCCTAAGTATCTTGGTCCAGGTAGTCCTTTGCAAATTCTCCAAATTTGTTTCATTCTCTCAATTACTGTAGGATAGGTTCCACTACTCTCCCATTCTACAACTGGCCAATATGAAGCTCAGAAGGCTGAACAACTAGACACTGAGGCCACAGTGATACAATCTCACATAGGCTTCACAGGCTTTTTGATGACAGCCGTGATGATAACAGCTAGAACTTGCGATAGTTAATACTCAAAGGAGCACTTGCTGGATGGTGCCCATGTTCTAAGCACTGTGCCTATTCACTTGATAACAAACATTGTGTGACAGCACAGGCAGAAGGCTGAGGTAGGAGCCTGCCTGGGCTACGAAGTGAGTTGCTATTCAAAGAGGGCGGAGCCTTTCAGTCACTGGGGTGAGCTCTGAGGTTTTAAAGCTTGGCCCCCCTTCCTGTTCTCTCCCTCCCTCCTTCCCTCCCACCCACCTCTGCTTCCTGTGTATGGGTGAGAATGTGATCAGCCAGCTTCCTGTTCCTGATACCATGTTTCCTGACTATTGCCACGCCTGCCCTGCCGTGTTGGAATTTATCCCTCCAGAGCTCTAAACCAAAATAAAGCCTTTCTTTGTAAGTAGCTTACCAAAGCTTTTTTGTTTTTGTTTTTCGAGACGGGGTCTCTCTGTGTAACAGCTCTCTGGCTGTCCTGGAGCTTGCTTTGTAGACCAGATTAGTTTTGAACTCACAGAGATCCACCTGCCTCTGCATTCCCAGTGCTGGGATTAAAGGCGTGCGCCCCACCACCACCTGGCTTCTTGGCGTATTTTTTCCCAGCAACACAGAAGTAATTAATGTATCTCATCTTAGAGTGCTTTATATCAACTGAACACAGGCCTGAAACATTTGTGAGGAGAGAACATCAGTTGACAAAATGTTCCCACCAGATTAGCCTGTGGTACGTTTTTTTGTTTGTTTGTTTGTTTGTTTGTTTTGTTTTGTTTTTAAATTTTTATTGATGATGGATGGGGGAAGACACAACTCACTATGGACCCCCGGGGCTGGTGGTCCTGGGGTAAGAAAGCAGGTTAAAATAGCCACAGGGAGTAAACCAGGAAGCAGCATTCTTCCATGGCTGTTTCAATTTTTGCCTCCAGGTTTCGGTCTTAAGTTCCTGCTCTGACTTCCCTGGATGGTGGACTACAAATCCTAAGATGAAATAAACCCTTTCCCTGCCAAGTTGATTATGGCCATGGTGTTTTATCACAGCAATAGAAACTCTAAGACACCTGCAGCAGCCTACTGCATAGGTACCAAACAGAATAATATGTAACAGTACAAGTTTCCGGATGTTTGACTTTGCAGCTGTCCAACAAGGAGTGGAGTGAACTTTGATATGACACACATCCATAAACACACATGTGTGCACATACACAGTCTAATGCTGGCATAAATGAAACATAAAGAGCCATGACTACTCATAGTTAGGAGGTAAGTGGGTATATTTTCATTTTGATATTTATATACTGTCTTTTTGTTTCTATATATTTGAGAATATAATTTTAAAAAACAGAACATCTACATGGGTAATCTTTAAAGTACAAGCCTTTCTTCAATAATTTCTAAGACTTAAACACCCTCACTCAAAGGACTTATTCTGAAAGCCAGCCATAGTGGTGCATGTCTTCAATCCCAACACCTGGGAGGCAGAGGCAGAGGCAGGCAGCTCTCTGTGAGGCCAGTCTGGTCTACAGAGTGAGTTCCAGGACAGCCAGGGCCACATAGAAACACCTTGTTTCCAATGAAAGAAAAAACCAACAAACAAAAACAAGTCTGTCCATAGAAGTGTCTTCATTTGTTAATGGCATTTTCTTTTTAATTTTTACTGTTTTGAGTGTGTGGGTCTTTTGCCTGCATTTCAGTGTACCACATGCTTCCCTAGGGCTCATGGAAGCCAGAAGAGGGCATCAGACGGAACTCAAGTAATAGATGGTTGTGAGCCAAGTCCCCTGGAGGAGGAGCAGCGCCCTTACCCCTCAGCAATATTTTCCTTACAAATAGGAGCTGCAATATAAACACCTTGCTTCCCTCGAATGTTCTTTCCACCTTGTTCCCTTGGACAGTTGAATTGCCAAACCCACTGACTTTCATTCCCTCTGCCACAACTGGACTCAGGTTTTCATTTTATTACCCAGTGTCAGATACAGGAGTGGAAGCAGATACAACAGCAGGTTTTTCTACACAGCATGTTCCTCCCCCTTCTCCCTGATCCCTACAGCAATCATAGAAGACACTACTAGCATCTCTCTCAACCAGATACCCTCAGTATGTCCACAGTTTCAATTTGTAAGTGACGTCATCAGCAGAATGCCTGCCTACTATACACAGGTCTGAGGTTCTCTTCCCAACCCTCTCCAGATGTGTAATAATACCAAGAGGTTGAACATGTTTTTAGTTAATGGGCACCCTTATACTGTGGCATTTCATGTCATGTGTTCCAGATTGACAAGTTGTTTAAGCATTTGATTATTTTGTCCTTCAAAATGTGTGTGTTAGAGTTCCAAGAACAGCATAATGAAGGCCTATACAGCTTTGCCTTGTATTCACCAATTGCTGGTGAGTAACATTTTGCTATTTTCTCTCAACCCGCTGGCTTTCCTTGGACTGCACGGCATTCTATATACCCACATGCTGTCGCTTAGCCTTCGAGTCTAACACAGACACTTTAACCGTAAAAACTTCCTTCTCTAGCTTCTTCCTGCCTATGTCTCCAGCTCTCCTTCCCTCTCCCCCTTCCTCTCACCCAGGGGTTGAAGCTATGGCTTCACGCACTCTAGGGAGGTAAGTGTTCTGTCATGAGCTGCAGCCCAGTTCCCTGTGTCTCTCTTCTATCTCTTATTTATGGATATACCTCCTATCATTCAGTAGGTCCTAAACACTGGTAGACAGAAGAATGTATTCAATATCAAGCTGTATTTTTCAAAGCTTAGAACAGTCACTTTTGGACACTTCATAACCCTAGCTGCAAAATCAACCATTTACACTCCACCCCAAAAAAAACCACTGAAGAACCAGTCACAGTGGAGCACGCCTATGATATTTCCAGTATTTAGGGAGCTGAAATAGGGGCATTGCCATAGGTTTGGAACTAGCCTGGGCTACAGAATAAGGCCCTATCTGAAAAGAAAACCACTTAATAAATGCATGCAAGGAGGAAATTTTTGTTTCTATTTCTCACCTTTCAAAAACTACAATTTTACCAACCTACTTAGATTTAGTAGTGAAAATATTAATGAAATAATAGCCCTTTCATTTTCAAGATGAGGTACTTTACATGTATTGGCATCCATCATTCAATCTCCACAAGGGCTTTAGGAGATAGGCCTAATTACCACATTACAAGGGGAAAGTGAAGTATATGAGATCGAGTGCCGTGTCTGAACTCACACAAGGAGGATGTTGCTTATATAAGACTTTCACTTTTCTTAGCTTTGTACTGTGTGTATTGCTTGCTTGACCTGAAACAGAGTTCAGTAAATTTAAGATGACTTGTTCAGAACAGAATGTTGGTGCCGTGGGAATTCAACAGTCAATAGTCAACAACAACAATAAAAATAACTCCCACTTCTAAAGGAAGAAAAGTTTATACTTCTGTCACCACAAAGTGACATGATTTGAGGGATGCTCTAACAGGTCAATTTGGATTTCAACATTTTACTAATCATGACCAATAGCAACACTTGAGAGGCATATGCTCAAAGCATGCCATATTCACAGGCTGCTGCTTTGGGAAGAGGGGGTTCTGAGGATGAGCTGGCAACTATTCTTTTAGTGACTTTGGTTTCAGAGTACCCCCTTAGCTGGGCATTTTATACTTCCTTGGACAAAGCACAAGCCAAGAGTCTTTCGTTTTAAACGAGGAGTCTCGTTCCCAGCTTACAGTCAAGAGACTCCGTGAGCCAGTAACAATCTTCTGGCTGAAGAAGGCTCTGGAACCCAGAGGCCCGGTGTCAGGTTGCTCAGGAAAAAGGAACAAAAAGTCACCGCACAGAACACTTATCCATGTCCCATTTCGTTTATTCAGAGGGTCTTCGAAGCCACGCTATATTTTAGCTTCAACACTACAACTGATGCTTGTGCCCGCCTGCCCCCCAGTTCAGATGTGGAAGGCCTCAGCCCAGTTAAACATGGTCTTTGGGTAATTAGGTCATGAGTGGATACTCACGAATTGGATTAGTGCCTTTAAGAGAAGGGGCAAAAGGAGCCCACTGTCTACTATATGTAGATATAGGCAAAAGGAGCCTAATCTGATGAGGATCAAAGCCTGACCATCTAGCACATGGGTTCCACATCCCAGCTCAAGAAACTCTATTTAAGTTCCCAAACTACAGCCATCTATATACAGACCAAGCTCCTTAAAGCAAATATATATTCAATGGGATCTTTCTCTTCTCTGTGCATATGTGTGTATGTATACATATGCATGCGCTAGTTTGTACAGGTGTATTCACCCATGCTTGTCCATATAGAGAACAGAGATTGTCTTAGTGTTTCTATTGCTGTGGAGAGACACAATGACCACTGCAACTCTTACGAAAGAAAACATTTAACTGGGACTGGCTTATGGTTCAGAGGTTTAGCCCATTATCATCATAGTGGGAAACATGGTGGTATGCAGGCAGACATGGTGCTGGAGAAGAAGCTCAGAGTTCTACATCTAGATCCTCAGGCAGCAGGAAGAGAGAGTGACTCTGGGCATGGCTTGAGCATTTAAAACCTCAAAGCCTTCCCCCAGTGACACGCTTCCTCCAACAAGACCACAGCTCTTAACATAGTGTCACTCCCTATGGGCCTATGTGGGGCATTTTTCATTCAGACCACTACAGAGGTTAATACTGGACGTCTTCCTCAATCAGTCTCCACCTTGTTTTCTGAGACAGGGTCTCTTGAAGAACGTGGAGCTCACTAGTTCGGTTACACTAGTTAACCACCAGTGTGTGTGTCTGTCCCCCAGCACTGGAGTTGAGAACACAAGCCAGACCTAGCATTTTATGTGGATACTGGAGATCCACATTCAGGTCCCCATGCTTGTGTGGCAAGCACATTACCCACTGAGCCATTTCCCCAGCCCCCTTTTTAAGTCCAGCAAAACTCTTTTTAAAAATTGATTGATTGATTGATTGATTGATTGATTGATTGATTGATTATGTATAGAGTATTCTGTCTGCATGTATACCTGCAGGCCAGAAGAGGGCACCAGATCTCATTACAGATGGTTGTGAGGCACCATGTGGTTGCTGGGAATTGAACTCAGGACCTCTGGAAAAGCAGCCAGTGCTCTTAACTGCTGAGCCATCTCTCCAGCCTGAGTCCAGAAAAAATTTTAAATGCTTCAAAAAGCAGTGTCAAAATAAATAACAAAAACACTCCAAAGGGACGACATTGTTCTCCTTGGTCCAGTTTCAGTGTCTTTAAGTCTAAGGCTGTGGATCAGGTTCCTTAGAAGGTACTGGGCAGGGAAGGAAATAGTTGGAATCTGAATATGAGCTTCTGGCTTGGAATTAGGATTTCAGTGGCTCACACCACCATCAAATATACAAAGTACTGACCAGGCCGCTAAGAGCCTCAAAAGGTTACAAAATACAAATGACCATTCATCTATTGGCTTGTCAGAATTTGTGAATAATGAAAGTAAAAACGTTTAGTACGCTGTCAAACTAAATAGACACTTAACAGATGTCAACTGAATGTAAACTATGAAGAGTTAAAAATAGTTTAAGATGTTATATAATGAAAATGGAATCAACCTCAATTTAAAAGAACAATGGAAAATATCAGTTTCTGCTATTTAATGGTGAAATAGCAGAATAAAAAAGAACAATGCACAATTTTGTGTCTTACAAAAACCAGCAGAAATGTGTTTATTAAACTAATGAGTGGCTTGAATAAGTAAATGAATAAAAAATGGGTTCTTTAGCTACAAACCAACCTTGGCAGGACACTGCATCGCACGCCGACAGAAGGCGGCCATGTTTTATGATTTCAATTACTGATTGTGGTGCTGAAAGCAAGCCCTTGCTGTAGGCCACACCTCCTGCCAGGCATTCAGTAAAGGAGGCTTCCAG